AGACACATTACTGGGAGTATTATTGCTGTGGAGCTCTATGCACAGAGCACCTAGAAAGTAGCAACATTAGAATAGAAAAGAGGGACAGATGGATTTGGGTTAAAAATAGGGACTGTCATTCCTAAATAGGGACTTTTGGGAGGTATGTTGCTAGCTCAGCACTGTGTGGATTTGTGCCCTACAAGCTTAGTTCTCAAACCTCCCAACATTTCAAATGGACCGGAAGGGACCTTGGGGGTGTAACCAGGGGCAAGGCTGAGACATTTTAGATTAGTTACTAGTAACAATATATGCAACTAAAATGTAATTGAGTTAATTTTATACAAAGAGACTGATTTCTAAACACGTTTATTGTAGTTTAAAAACACATTACTTGGGGTATTATTGCTGTGGAGCTCTGTTATTCACTCAGACACACCAACAATTTGGAGCTCCAAGAAAAGAGGGATATTAGGGGACTGTCCCTCCTAAATAGGGCCACTTGGGAGGTATTAAGTCTTAGCTATGAGATCTTTCCCGGAGGTTATCTGGCTGCAACACTATGATGAGTATGATGTCATTGTAGGTGTTTGTAAGTGACTGCAGGATGAGATCAGCCCGTGTTAATGGCAAACACTACATGTACCAGTTGTCATTGGTGATGATGGAGTTATTGGGAACAAAGTCAGTGTCTTATAGATATGCACAGATCTCTGTAAATGCCGGTTATTCATCCGGATGGAGGTTTCTGGGATATGATGTCACACATCATGACTCCGGCAGCCTCCATCTGTTAATCCCACATATCACATGTTGCGCTCGAGTACGGCCGTGCACACAGATCTGCACGTTTTATTCATTACAACTTGTCCCTGGGGCCAAAAACTGCCAGTCCTTCATGCCCATAGGGAAATAAAAGTCCTTAAGACACTATGGTGCCATGGCCAGTCCATTCACACTATACATGGTATCACCTTACACTCAACACTGTGCAGGAGCCAACGACCCTCAATGTATACAGTGTGAGTATGCAATTCTGTGTAGTTATGTTCTGTTTTCAAAGTAATACTTTAATGACTCTGTGGGTGTTAAACGGACCAGTGTGTCAATCTGTATAAAAAACAAGAAAAAAACAGAATTTAATTATGAAACGTGATTTAACCCATACTGCCAATGAACAGACATGTTCTCTTTCTTTAGCTAGCGGAAACGATATTGTCCTCACTTTAACCCATTGGAAACTGACGGGCAATTCATTTTTATAGTGTACATTAGACATCAATAAATCTATTTATCTACTTTAGTCTGGCAAATTAGGATGTTGGCAATGACTAATTCTTGCATTTCTGCAAATATTTTTACATTTTTCTAGTGACTGAATTTGTTTTGCATTTTCTTTTAAGAACATTCCAAGCACCACAACCACTACAGCACACTGTAGTGGTTATGGTGCCACATGTGCCCTCCCCTTGTATTTAGTCAAACCGTTTTCGTATGTTTTCCATTACTTTCGACAGAGAGCTGGAAGCTTCAGATAGCCCTCCTTAGCTCAGGCCTGCTCTGCCACAGCTTCCGGCTCTCTGTGGGGAGAGGCAGCTGGCAGACTCAAGGTATGACATCAACAGCGCGCTGCAGTGGTTATGGTGCTTGGAGTGTTCCTTTAAGGAGTTTATTTTTGGCATCAAGGCTAACGATCAGAGATTATAAGATAAAATGCATTCAGCCATACTTGGTATTTACACATAAACTGAGTAGGCCTCTCCATATTTATTTATTTATTTAAAAAAATATTTTACCAGAAAGATATATTGAGATTTCTCTCGTTTTCAAGTATGTCCTGGGTCCACAAATATGCCATTGTTACAAGAGGGTGCAATAAAATATTACATTTACAAAATAATATTTAAATGCACATTTATACATTTAACAAAGAACACGTAAGAAATAGAGTTAACCATGATTACAGGTACATTCTGTGATATGTTGATGGGAATCTCTTAAATTATTTTATTGTGTGTGTTGTTCCATAATTGTGGTGCTCTATAGGAAAATGAGGATCGAGCCACTTTCATTTCATATGGAGGTAAATTGAAGAAGGCGACAGGGCCCAGTGTTTTAATTATTTATTTAAATGATAAATTAATATTGTTTGCAGGGTGTATGCAGCAGCTAGTTAGGTGTCCATGAATGTGTGTATGGGTGTCTCTGTGTGGCTAGTTAAGTGTGCAGAAATGAGTGTGTGTCAAGTTAAGCATCCATGAATGTGTGTATGAGTGTGTCTGTGTGGCTGTTATTGTGTGTGTTTTTGCGTGTGTAGCTAGTTAAGTGTCCATGAATGTGTGTATGAGTGTCTCTGTGTGGCTGTTATTGTGTGTGTGTTTGCGTGTGTAGCTAGTTAAGCGTCCATGAATGTGTGTATGAGTGTCTCTGTATGGCTGTTATTGTGTGTGTGTTTGCGTGTGTAACTAGTTAAGCGTCCATGAATGTGTGTATGAGTGTCTCTGTGTGGCTGTTATTGTATGTGTGTTTGCGCGTGTAGCTAGTTAAGCGTCCATGAATGTGTGTATGAGTGTCTCTGTGTGGCTGTTATTGTGTGTGTGTTTGCGTGTGTAGCTAGTTAGGTGTCCATGAATGTTTGTATGAGTGTCTCTGTGTGGCTGTTATTGTGTGTGTGTTTGCGTGTGTAGCTAGTTAGGTGTCCATGAATGTGTGTATGAGTGTCTCTGTGTGGCTGTTATTGTGTGTGTTTGCGTGTGTAGCTAGTTAAGTGTCCATGAATGTGTGTATGAGTGTCTCTGTGTGGCTGTTATTGTGTGTGTGTTTGCGTGTGTAGCTAGTTAAGAGTCCATGAATGTGTGTATGAGTGTCTCTGTGTGGCTGTTATTGTGTGTGTGTTTGCGTGTGTAGCTAGTTAAATGTCCATGAATGTGTGTATGAGTGTCTCTGTGTGGCTGTTATTGTGTGTGTGTTTGCGTGTGTAGCTAGTTAAGCGTCCATGAATGTGTGTATGAGTGTCTGTGTGGCTGTTATTGTGTGTGTGTTTGCGTGTGTAGCTAGTTAGGGGTCCATGAATGTGTGTATGAGTGTCTCTGTGTGGCTGTTATTGTGTGTGTGTTTGCGTGTGTAGCTAGTTAGGTGTCCATTAATGTGTGTATGAGTGTCTCTGTGTGGCTGTTATTGTGTGTGTGTTTGCGTGTGTAGCTAGTTGGGGTGTCCATGAATGTGTGTATAGGTGTCTCTGTGTGTGTTGTGTGTGTGTTTGGGTGTGTGGCTAGTTAGAGGTGTCCATGAGATGTGTGTATGAGTGTCTCTGTGTGGCTGTTATTGTGTGTGTGTTTGCGTGTGTAGCTAGTTAGGCGTCCATGAATGTGTGTATGAGTGTCTCTGTGTGGCTGTTATTGTGTGTGTGTTTGCGTGTGTAGCTAGTTAAATGTCCATGAATGTGTGTATGAGTGTCTCTGTGTGGCTGTTATTGTGTGTGTGTTTGCGTGTGTAGCTAGTTAAGCGTCCATGAATGTGTGTATGAGTGTCTGTGTGGCTGTTATTGTGTGTGTGTTTGCGTGTGTAGCTAGTTAGGGGTCCATGAATGTGTGTATGAGTGTCTCTGTGTGGCTGTTATTGTGTGTGTGTTTGCGTGTGTAGCTAGTTAGGTGTCCATTAATGTGTGTATGAGTGTCTCTGTGTGGCTGTTATTGTGTGTGTGTTTGCGTGTGTAGCTAGTTAGGTGTCCATGAATGTGTGTATGAGTGTCTCTGTGTGGCTGTTATTGTGTGTGTTTGCGTGTGTAGCTAGTTAAGTGTCCATGAATGTGTGTATGAGTGTCTCTGTTTGGCTGTTATTGTGTGTGTGTTTGCGTGTGTAGCTAGTTAAGCGTCCATGAATGTGTGTATGAGTGTCTCTGTGTGGCTGTTATTGTGTGTGTGTTTGCGTGTGTAGCTAGTTAAGTGTCCATGAATGTGTGTATGAGTGTCTCTG